TATTTAAATCATCACAATTATAAACTTGTGACCAGTTTTGCAATTTCAATTCTTCCTTAAAGTATAACATTTTTCTGCTTGTAAAAAGTCTTTTGTATTGATTTTGATTGTTTTTTTTATTTTCAGGAATTTTAATTTCCAGTAGCTGAGCATGGTGATCAGAGAGCGCCGATACAATGACTTCACCTTGGACAAAATTCTCAAAATTAACAAAAATGTTATCAATCAATGTAGATGATCCCTTATACTCTCTTGTTGCTTTAAATATAGTTTGGTAAAAATTATAAGATTTCAATAAATCTATAAATAATTTAGTATTTTTATTATTGTCAAATAGATTTAAATTAAAGTCCCCGCAAATGGCAATTTTGTAGTTTTTAAACCATTTTGTTAGATTAATGAGAAGATTTTCTAGTTTTTGAAAAAAAAACCTCTTTTGAACCAGAACATGGTCTATAAATGCATATTATAGTCACTTTTTTATTTTTGCTAAATACACTTGAACACTCCATAATACCTTCTTCATTTATTTGGTCAAGTTCTGGTCCATTCTGGTACTCAGAGTTATTTTTAACATAAATATTAGATCCTCCACGAATTTGTGTTGTTCTGCAGAAGCTGGAGATTAATTTATAGTTTTGTATTGTTACATAATTTTGTTCTTCCCTTGTGCACCAGTGTTCAGTTAAGCACAGTATCTCAGGAAATTTATTTAAGTTGTTGAAAAGAACATTTATGTCTAGTGTTTTCGTTTTTAAGTTTTGTATATTTTGATGAAATACATAAATAGTGTCTAATGTAGTTTTATTTTTTGTGTTTAAGTGTTTGTTTTTGATGTTTGTGCAGATTGAAAATTTGTTTGTGTAGTATTGTTACCTTTATTTTGGTCCTCTCTAGAAAAATAGTATCTGCTATAGCCTATACCACTTGGCCAAAAGTCCGGTTTATATATTTCCTCTAACAGATCATAATCGGCGCCAATTTTAAAACATTTTGTAGTTTTCCTATTGACCTCAACTTCCTCTATGATAAACTCTCTTTCTTTTAAGTTGTCTTTATCATTAAGAAACTGAGTTATGTCCTCCTTTACCACGTCTTTGTTGACCCTTGATATAAAAAGCCAAACTTTTTTGGGTGTACCTTGAAATTTATTTCCTGACTTATTTGATCCATAGCTGATCTTCTTTAGTTCAGATGTTTTTTGAGCCAGTTTTTTCTCTTTGTGAGTGTCTTTGTTTATATTTATTAATTCATTCATTTTTGTTTTTTGTGCATCAATTATATCTTTATATGAAGATTTGGTGGCTGTGCTATACAGTTTTTCTGCATTGGGTTGTATTTCTCTATTTTCATTTATTAGTGGATCTTGATGTGATTGACTTGATGATTTTTCTTTTTTCTTTGTTATTGTTTTTTGGTTATTGTGTTCTTGTTGTTTATTTACTAACTTTTCTTCTTGCAATGTTATTATTTTCATTTTATCATTTATGATTGTAGTTTTATCCAATATTTGATCTTTTAATAACAATATTTCTTTTTTAAGATGTTCTATTTGAACTTTGCAAAGATTTAAATCAATAGTAGTGAAACTACAGTCTCCACATCGAAAAATCAATGTTTTCTTCTTAAGTTCCATAACTCTCTGCTCTGTGGCCGTAAGTTCACTACATGTTGTACAATGTGCAGACTTACAGTCCTCGCACACATAAAGTTCCTTAAAGGATTTTGAACACTTTGAGCAGGTGCACATTTTTAAGGTTAGGTCCTTTCACTTTCACTAAAACAAAAGTCCTGGTCTTTCACTTATTTGTTTTCGTAAACTGACAATTCACATTTTAGTAGAAAATCTGCTTTCACTAAATTATTGTTTATGTAGACACTTAAATTTAACAGCTTAGATTTTTGCGTTCATAACCTATAACCATAAATTATATGTATATATTTATATGTATGTATATTTGTATTTTAATTCGTTGCCTGCCGTGATATCGACCTGAAGCACGAATATTGGTATTTTAATTCGTTGCCTGTCGTGATATCGACCTGAAGCACGAATAATGTTATTTTAGTTAGTTAACTGTCACGAAATCGACCTGAAGAACGTATGTTAAATGCGGTATGCTCAATGAGAGGCAATGAACTTTTATCGATGCCTGTTGGTTTATTAACCTGCAGCACGGATAATGTTGAATTTTAAGTTTTATTACTTGTCAAAATAATTGACCTAAAGAAATGTTTGTGAACTTGTTTTACTGTTCTTGTTCACATTAATGAATTTGTGATGGACTATAGTCTGATCGATTTGAAATTGACGGTTACTATTATAAAATTAGTTGAAGGGACCATTTTGATGATGGCACTAATATGTTAAACTGTTGCAGAGTCTGAATCTTTGGGATCCCCGCTTAAAATACCCCATAGAGACCTATAAAAATAATCCATCGGGCGCTACCGGATTCAATATGTGCATTTGTCTATGCTTTTTCCGGATACGGCCCGATAGAAAATTTCTGTGGGTAAAAGGCATAAGGGGATAAGTCAAAAAAAGTAATTTTTTAATAGAGCCTTTAACCTGTTCGCATTAATTCAGGAAATATATTTATGTTTAGCGGGTATACGCTTTTGTTAGCATATGACATGTGCTAACAAAAGGGTATACCCGCTAACCATAACTATGTTTACTGAATTAATGCGAATACGTTTAAGGCTCCACTACTCTATTGAACTTTGTATCTATAGGGATTATCGGATAAAAATAACATGACACGAAAACTCCTGAACAGCCCTATATGATTTGTATCGGTAAATACCGATAGAAAATGACAAAAAACATGTAGCCAGCATTTAATACTGTTCACCATTGGAAAAACTGTATAATGTGATTTTAAAAAGTGGACTCAAAACAATTTGGCTTTGGGGCACAGATATATATATATATATATATATATTAGGGTGTTTCTTATTTGGCACAAAAAAATTTAATTAATATTTTTTTATGAGGCACCCTGTTATTATATTAAGAGTCATGAACAAATAATACAGTATTTTTTTTTTAATTTTCACACAAAGTTTAGAGGTCGCTACCGCACCTTGAAATTTGGTATATTAAGAAAAAACAGATTTTTTTTAATTATTCATAAATTTTATTTTTAACAAATAAGACCAATATTTATTTTTATGCATTATCTAAATAAACAAAAAAAAACATTTAAACGAGATAGTTTTCGCATATTATGGAATATAAAATTATTTAAGCAAAGTAGATTTTTTTGAATCTGGGTACTTTTTCCTATACTGTTTAACCAATAATAATATATATTGTTTTTGTTCTTCATTTGTGGTGTGTAACTTGTTGTATTCTTCCATCAATGCCACTCCCCGCTCAGCAATATCATTGACAACCTTCATGGAACAAACAATTTCTTTACTTGCTTTATAATCATCATCTTCTTCCCAAAATTCAACATTTTTCTCCAAAAACGTCGATGAAATTCCTGTAATGCTAAAAAATCTGCGAGTATTGCTGGAAACAAAATCTTCCAGACTTTTGTTTTGAATAACATTTTCATCTAACATTATACGCTTCATAGGACTCTGATCTACTCCTTCGTTTTTCAAGGCATCCACTATCTTTTTCTTTATTTTAAGAGAAACTTCATCGTCAAAAAAAGCAAACGCAACAAGCTCTTCTGATAGGTACCAGAGGTGGCCAAGAATTTTTTTCAAGGCAACTTTTGAAATTGCTTCATTCAGTTCCTCATACGATTTCAAGTCTTTTAGCAACTGCAGATCATTTCTAGGCGCACAAGACCCAGCAGGAGCTTGAAACCAGTATCTTATATAAACTTTTACTGTAAAAATGCATGCTTCACGAATTCCTGACTCTTCTTTTTTAGTAAGTTTGAACTGGTCTCTAAATAAATAAATCTTTAACGAGTATATGGCTTTTGCCATCCACCTAGCCCGATGAATACCAGCAGGAGCTCTAAAAGATATTCCCTTATCTGGAATCCCTCCTAGAAATATAATTGCAAGTTTCAGGAGCTCCTTGTAATCATCTCGTGGCTGGAACTTTGTGAGCTGATTCTGGGCAAAATCAATGATCTCTTTAGTTATATTGTTCACTTTTTTTAAGGTAGAAGCATCCGAAGTAGCAGTTTTGAAGTCTGTCTGATTTATTGTGTTCCAGGCTTTCTTAAATCTTTTAAAAATCAATACTTCTGGACCTGTCGAAGGTCCAAGTGCTTGAAGAAGCACAGCCTCGAGCATGATTTCCATAATGTGGTGACGACAGGCCAACCACAACATATCCTTTTTCATCTTTTGTTCTAGCAAAATGCATGCTCCATTTCTTGGTCCAGTATTAGTTGCAGTCGTATCAAAACTCATGCATTTTATTTGGTCGTCGAGCCCCCACGTTAATAATGTTTCATAAACGGCTGAAGCAGCTGAGTCTCCTGTCCCGCAAGAAAGTTTTGGCACTGCAAGAAGTTGTTCTATGCCGTTACCAGATACGATAATTGGAAGACGATCTACGATTTCATGTCCGCTGATATCTTCTATCATTTTTCCATCCCAATGAATGGTAAGGGGCACTTCTGCCCTAAACTCACTCTTCAAAGACTCGGCATTTTTCTGTCGAATTTTCATTCGCTGTCGACGAACAGAAGAAGGATTAATATTATATATTGAAGGATCACAGCCGAGGCTTTGAAGGGTAGTCGTCAGGACTGCGGTTGCTTTTCGATTACTTAACTTCGCAACATCAAGACTAATAGCCAAATTATCGTTTAAAAGTAATTTTCTACCCCGTTTCTTCGGAGGCAATTGAGGCTTTGAAGGTTCTTTGGTTGTTGAGGATGTAGGTAATGAAAAAGTTGATAAATCTGCCTCATCATTACTTGATGAAGAAGACGAGACTTGAAAGGGATGTTGCTTAGTGATTGATGCAATATCCTTTTGTTCTTGCTTAAGCATTCTTTTCTTACGAATTTCTTTCTGTTCAGCCCATTTTTTCTTTTTTGTGAATGCTATGATCTATCTAAGTTACCAATTTGGCCGCGACGATCTTTCTCCCGCTGCGCAATTAAAAAATCCTTGTCTTCCTGAATACGAATCATATTTAAGGCATCAGCGTGGGCTATGTCAAAGAGGTTTTTCAGTTTCATCTGCCATTCCTCTTCTTTTTGTTTTATGCCTTCCGAACGCTTAGCTTTATTTTCCTTATTTTTCTTTAGTTTTTGCCAATCCCTAAACAAGTTTTCTACTTTTCCTACTACGTGTTTCTTTAACTGTGTTGGTATCCCGGCCTTTTCCCAGACCGACAACACATCATCTGCAGTGAAATGGCAACATTTTTTTATGTTTTGCTTGCTGTCACTTTTATAGTGAAAAAAAAGACGTAATACCTCTTGTTTTGTTGGAAGTTTAGCTTGGCTTATTGATGATGTCTGGCCGACCAGCCATATATCTGTCTTTCTTCGAGTAGTTACAGCCGAATTGCTACAGGATGCTGATAAACTGGATGCCATTATACAAGACATTGCTATTTTATTAGCTCTAATAGCTTAACTGTAAGTAAGAAAATAAATATTAAAACATGTCACTTCGCTTAATATAAAAGAACAATATATTGGTTTATAAATAGGTGTATTCCTATTGAGCATTTTGACTATAGAATGGACGTCAGGGACATGCGCTACTCCCTGACGTCCATTTAGCACTCAAAATTCTCAGTATGAACACTCCTAAAAATAAACAATAAAGCTCACCAAAGTAAATAAAACAAGATAGTTACTCTCTGCGATTTAGTGCGAACGTGACCTGTCAACAATTTAGACTTTACTGGCGGTAATAATGATAATGTGGGAGGGGCAAGTAATTGTCGCTGGTAGCGCATGCGTAGTCAGAGAGGCGTAAAAATATTAAATTTTTGATATAATATAGTTATAGTAATATATAAGTTCGAGCATGTACGATTTAATCTTTTACGGTTGTGCTTGAATTAAGTGAAATTTAACTAAACTTTGATATGCGGTAGCGACCCCTAAAACTTAATTAAATTTAATAAAATTTTACACGGGCTAGTTTTTCAGATGGGGTAATAAAATAACAGGGTGCCCGGGTAATATTTCACAACTTCATTTTTAAGAACCACCCTAATATATATATATATATATATATATATATATATATATATATTGTAACAAACAGGATTTTAGTTAGTTTTGATTTTGAAAAGTTTTGGCGTTTTATTAAAGAAATATTAATTGCTTACCTGCTAATTTATTCTATTTAATTGTTAATATTCTTGGGCCAAGTTAGGTTGTAAGTTTAATAGTAAATTTTAGTTGATTTCTTTTATGACACTTTATTCTGGGGTTTAATTATAAAAAATTCTAAGTTGGTATGTTTAAACAATAAATATTGCTTAATTAATGTCACAGTGTTGCCACTGCACTGAGATGAAAAATGACAAATTTAAATTGTTTTTTGCTGTGGCCTAGTGACTTTTTGGACAGCCATTGATAATTAGATTTTGACTTTGCACACATCTTGTGAATTAAATGCTAAAAGTTAATTTTATTTAGATCATCGATTGATTAATTTTGTTAAAAAAGGTTCAAATCTTGTGGGTGAGTTCTATTTCAAAATAATACTAGCATATTTTCTTAGAGGGTATGCGTGAAAAAATAAAAAATAACACCCTAATATATATATATTAAAATCACATTATACAGTTTTTCCAATGGTGAACAGGATTAAATGCTGGCTTACTTGTTTTTTTGATATATCAAAAACTTAGTAAGAGTAGTACTTAATTCTGTTTACTATTGGAAAGAGCGGAAAAATATGAAACGTGATTTTTAAAAAGTGGACCTAATATAGTTGGCCCTGGGATATCTATGTGGATATCCATTGGATATAGGCTATATCCTGGGTATAGGCGGACATTTGGATATCGATAGGATATCTAATGGTTATCCATGTATATCCATTGGATATTTTGGATATCCAGAAAGTACATTCCTTGGATATCTAATGGATATTTTGTGCTGTCTGGGACCTGGGATAACCCAATTTTGTTAATAAATTATTAATTAAATTATTAATAATATTATTAATAATAATATTTATTTGTTGACCTAGTGGGTGGCGACATCTGGTACAGTTCCTTGTTATTAAAAATGCGGTTGATCTTGCACAACGTTTAATCCATCCACCACAATGTTAAATTTATTTAACATATATAATTTAAAAAAATCAGAATCAGAAGACGAAATTATATTTGACGTAATAAACAATATATCGTCACCGTTCTGGCAAAAGTCATTAACTCCATTTTTGTCTAAAAGTAGTTAACTACCTTCGCGATCATAGAACAATTATATCTGTGGTCTAGAAAAACTTATTAAGTGCAGTATTGTATTTTTAGCATGTTAAAAATACAATACTGCACTTAATAAGTTTTTCTAGACCACAGATATAATTGTTCTATGATCGCGAAGGTAGTTAACTACTTTTAGACAAAAATGGAGTTAATGACTTTTGCCAGAACGGTGACGATATGAATAAAGAATATTAAAAAATATTACATTACAGAATATTATTTAGTACTTATTTTATTTTTTTAAAACAAATGTATTATGTAATACAAATTAAAACTATATATTATTATTTCATATTAAATATTATTAATTTATTATAATATATGAGTATGAGTATGGCGACGTATGGAAGGCCCCATCGATATCACCTTTTGATTGATTTTGATTTGAAGGGGAGCCTTTGCAGGCAGCACTTAGGCACACATACGGCCCATTGTGCAAACCCCCTTTTGGTGAAGCTCTGCCTTACCTTACGAGCCCGCAGCTTTTAAGAAAAGCGCAGACCCGCTCTGGTCGGGCATGCATTATTTCCTCTGGTTCCAAGTATCTGTCCCCTAGGTGTCTTAGTCTACTATTGACTAGAGCGTCGCATTCGCAGACTATATGCTCGGTAGTTTCGTCTACTTCGCTGCAGTACCTACAGTCCGACTCGTTGCTGAGTCCGGTTTTGTGTAGGTGGTATTTGACCACCCAGTGTCCTGTTAGGACTCCTGTGATGGTTCTTAACTGGTTCCTGTTAAGTTTCAGGAGTCTTTTTGCCTCTTTGCAGGTAGTAGGACTCTTTATAAAGGCCCTTGACTGCCTGAGGCCTTGTTGATCACGCCATTTTTTCTGGAACTGGTCGTTAGTCCAGTTCCTGATTTTGGTTTTTGCCAGACATGAGGCGACCCCTATGACAGGTTCTGGCCCCAAGAAGGCCGTGTTGCTGCCCTCACGAGCCAGCTGGTCTGCTTCCTCGTTGCCTTTGATGCCTCGATGACCCGGTACCCAGATGTTGAGCACACTGAGTAGTTCAAGGGTTTTTATGCAGTCCAGTGTAAGTCTCGAGTTGACCCTTTCCGAGTGAAGAGCCCGGAGTGCTGCTTGACTGTCGCTGCATATATAGATATGTTTACCCGAGTAGCCTCTCTGGAGATTCTCTTGGGCGCATATCTGGATGGCAAAGATTTCAGTCTGGTATACCGTTGGGTAACGACCTAGTGCAAGGCTTATTCTCGCCCCAGGTCGCTCTCCATATACACCAGCTCCTGCACCTTCTTTCATTAAAGACCCGTCTGTATACCAGATGAGCCCTTCCGGTTTGAGAAAGCCTGGGTCAGGCTCACTCCAGTCGTTTCTGGAGGGGAAAACCACTTTATATCTCCTGAGGGGGGTAGACGTCTTTGGCATTGCATCCCTTCTTGTGAGAAGGGGGTCCCGGTTGATAGTCTCAGTCCAGGCCCTTGCATGCCCTGAGTTTTCCCCCCCTTGAGTCCACTGTCCCCAATCGTTGAGTCTGACTGAGGCCTCCCGAGCCCGTGCCTCCACAAAGAGATGTAGAGGCGCCAGTCCCAGTATGGCCTCCATTGCCAATGTTGGAGTGGTTCTGAAAGCTCCAATTATGCCCATGCAGGCAAATCGTTGGAGCTTGTCCATCTTCTTCCTGTAGGTGGGCTTGCTTAACGCATTCCACCAAACAAGGCTGCCGTATGTGATCATTGGCCTTATGACTGTTGTGTAAAGCCAGTGCACTATGTGGGGTTGTAGGCCCCAGGTGCGTCCAATGGTCTTTCTGCATGCCCATAGGCTATGAGTGGCCCTCTGGACGACCCTGTTGACATGTTCCTTCCAGGTCAGCCTGGAGTCAATGATGACTCCTAGATACTTGACTGATTTGGATGGGGTCAGTCTTGATCCGAAGAGCGTAAGCCCCTCAAGGTTAATGTTTCTTCGGTTGGTGAATGGTACTACTTCTGTCTTATCCGGATTGACGGATAGTCCGTGTTCGTTGCACCACCTTTCGACCTTATTAAGAGCTCTTTGCATGATCTCTTTAATAGTGTTTGGTACCCTTCCGGCTACGACGATGACGAGGTCGTCCGCGTAGCCTTGAGTGTATATGCCTTCCTCGTTTAGGATACGAAGTAGCCCATCCAGCACTAGGCACCACAGCAAGGGCGATAGTACTCCTCCTTGCGGGCAGCCTCTGGCTACGGTTGAGCTGATCTCCGTAGTTCCAATCGAGCTTGTAATGATCCTGCTTTCCAGCATGACACGGATCCATTTGACAATGGTATTCTCTATGCCAAAGCCTTCTGCAGCTCTATTTATCGACTCGAAGGAGGTGTTGTTGAAAGCTCCTTCAATATCTAGAAACGTGCCCAGAGCCATCTCTTTAGGACGAGTCCCTCTCTCTAGTCTTGTCACAAGGCTGTGAAGAGCGGTCTCCGTCGACATGGCTGTCCTGTAGGCGTGTTGATTGGGATGCATGGGAATTCTTTTTAGTGCCCCGTCCCTAATAAATATGTCCACCAGTTTCTCCATAGTTTTTAAAAGAAACGAGGATAGACTGATGGGTCTATAGTCCTTTGCCGTATCGTAGTTACAACGTCCTGGCTTGGGGATGAACACCACTCGAACCTTTCGCCAGGATTGCGGCACGTAGCCTCGTGCCAAGCAGGCTCTGAAGAGGTGTATCAAGTGCGGTGTCAGTGGTTCTAGTCCCTTTTGTAAGAGAGCCGGAAAGATGCCATCTGGTCCCGCGCTTTTAAAAGATCCAAATGAGTGGATTGCCCACTTTATGGAGCTTTCTGTCACTACCTTTGCAGCTAGCTTCCAGTCAGTCGGTCTTATGCCCGCTGGTGGAGCCCGCCTTGGTGGTTCAACAGTTTGCAGGATTTTTGAGCCTGGAAAGTGAGTTTCCAGGAGCCATTTAAGTGCCTCCCCCGGGGTGGTGCTATAGTCACCGGAGGGAAGCCTTAATGTCCCCAGCTCTCGTCCCGGATCCTTTGAGAGAATCTTTTGAAGCCTGGCGGCTGCTGGAAGCTCGTCTACGTTACCGCAGAACGTCCTCCACGATTCCCTTTTAGACCTTCTTATGAGATCTTTGTACCTGCGCTGAGACTGCTTGTGGCTGTCCCAATCCGCAGGCGATTTAGACCGCATGGCCCTGTTAA